GCTGGTACAATAGGCCAGAAGCGGCCGCAGTACAAGGGACTTAGTCCCACCCCACTAGCAATAAAAAAAAATAATACCACAGATGTAATCCCTCACTCAGTTCACATGACGTCAAGGTATGATATTGATGAACTGACCTGGGCTCGAACCCTGGTGCCCACGGTGGAATCCGGCGACTAACCTCCTGATCTATGGCACGGCCGTCGACTGCAAACTTACTACCACAGAATTAATTCCTCACTCAGTTCACATGACGTCAGGGTATGATATTACTGACTGCAGTCATTCAAATCTTCTGCTTCGAAGGTACAGTAGACATACAGAAAATGACGTCTGGAATTTCAACAAGAAGAAAATGGGAAAAGAAAGCACCTGCTAAATGTTGCGTAAAATATCGGAAATGACGTGGCTCATTCATGGAGGGTGGGGGGGGGAGCTCATCTGCTGGATATGACCTGAACGGTTAGGACAGGTTTTGGGATTGCTTGCCTTCCACGCCCTGTAGCAGTTTAAAGCTAGGCAACACACGAAGCACAACACATTGCCCAAGGGAAAGGAATTTCTGACGCTTCGTTGCAAGGTGAGCTTGACCCACGTTCAGTCCCTAGTCGATAATGAATGAAATGCGATTACAATATTTCTAACCTGAAAATGGCTATTGCTATAACCGCAGCAGTAATAGCTCCTACAGGTAAAAGCTAAAAGTTATAATGTACGTGGAGTAATTTTATTGGATTCTGAAGGGTCGAGATATTAATTTAAAAATAATTAGTCCTGCAATTTAGATGTCTGCTGTCCATAACATAAAAATTATAATATAAAAAAACTGTAATTTTGCATGTGGTTCTGTATGGGTGTGAAACTTGGTCTCTGTCAAATTTGATTTGTTTCATTCTGGTCCGTCACACTAACAATTATAAATACAAACCACTCCGTCCAATGTGACATGTAAGTTTTTACTACGCTAAAACTTGTCTCCCTTACATGTTTCGGTCCTTACGGGCCATCTTCAGAGGGAACATCATTACAAACTGGAAACTACCATCACAATAGGTGTTTTGATTTAAAATACATACACTTATATCCTATAATGCACAGTACGCATAAAGCCTCTGACATTAAGGGAGGAACATAGACTGAGGGTGTTTGAGAACAGGGTGTTGAGGAGAATATTTGGACCGAAAAGGGATGAAGTGACAGGAGGTTGGAGAAATTGCATAATGAGGAGCTTCATAACTTGTACTCTTCTCCAAGTATAATTAGAATTATCAAGTCAAGGAGGAGGAGGAGGTGGTCAGGGCATGTAGCACGAATGGGGGAAGAGGGATGCATATATAGAATATTGGTGGGAAAGCCAGAAGGAAAGAGACCACTGGGAAGAACAAGGCGTAGGTGGATGGACAATATTAAAATGCATCTTAGAGAGATTGGTTGCGGTTTTATGGTCTGGATTGATCTAGCTTAGGATAGGAGCTAGTGGAGGGCTCTTGTGAACACGGCAATGAATCTTCGGCTCCATGAAATGCTGGGAAATTCTTGAGTAGCTGCAGAATTGGCGGCTCCTCAAGAAGGGCTCAGCTCCATGAGTAAGTAAGTAAGTGTAATTCAGATGTTATGCAAAATAATTGAATTCGTTGTTAGACAGAAGAATGTAACTAAGTAAATGAAGTTGATTCCTTATTGAAAAGCTAATCATTACTTCAGATTGATTTGCTCCATTTGTTCGGGAGCCGGGATAGCTCAGTCGGTATAGCGACTACGCTGCGACCTGGACGAATGAGGGGTCGGAGTTTTGAGTCCCGTAGGTCAAGAATTTTCTCCAAATCGTTCAGACCAGCTCTGGGGTCCACCCAACCTCCTATCCAGTGGGTACCGGCTACTCTTTCCACGGGGCTAAAGTGTCTGGGGCGTGAAGCTGACCTCCAGCTGGTGCCGAGGTCAAGAAAATGTGGATCTACACACCACTACCCATATGCCTTCATGTCGTAGTGCTTAATTCGTTGAGCACAGGGACAACTTTTTTTTTCCTTTGTCGCTACAACCCTCCTAGGCCTACCTCCATGAAACTCTCCGTTTCACTTCGATTTACTAGATCTTAGACATTCGGTAGGACTCCTTGGGCGGGTGATCAGCTCGTCGCAAGGCCTCTACCTGTACACAAACATCTATTCCCTGAGTGGGATTCGAACCCAGGATCCCGGCTTCCGAGCGAGCGAAGACAGTGCATGCCTTAGACCACTCGGCTACCGTGACCGGCACTGGGACAACTTTATCTTACCTTAATAACATTTGTTCACCCTCCTAATTTCTACTTCGAACATGGAGGAAACGTGCATCTCCGAAACATCGGCATCACTATTCATAACAAGTGTCAGCCATTCGATAATACGTCATAGATATTTCTGTGCTATCTGCATTTATGTGAAACCTTTATTTGTCTTCTAATTCATATATTATTTGTGCCTTGTTCCTTTAAGTCTCATAACTGGTTCTCTCTGTTCGTGTGTTAGAAAAGATTTGGTCCTCTACGAAACCACTACCAATAATTGCACAATAAGAGCCACACGACGGTGTGAGCCCTGCAAATGAAGTCGCTGTGAGAGCTAGTGCTAATTACTAAAGTTCCTCGTGTGACGCTGCGTGTTACAGAGGAAACTGAGGACTCGAGTAGTCATTGGGTCCAGAGGCGTCATTGTGTGTCTGATCCCAGAGCTCCCTAGTGGTAATTGAATGTACTACACGCCTATTAGCGATATTTATAATCTGTAAAATGAAGAACTTCTCGAAATTGTTGAAACGCCTTAGTCTAAGGAGACGTGTTGCTAATTAGCAATCAGCTGGGCCTACATTCCAGCTTAGAACAGAAGTATAAAATGTAATAATATTTGCGTCTCGCAAGCATTTCAAGGAATATTTTTCGTAGCAAACTCTACACTGATTGAGATGAATATTATAGTGTGCTCAGTCTTAGAAAACGTAAACAAGGCACATAAAATGTACAGTATATAAAAGTATGCAGTGTACGCAACAATATTCTGTATTTAAAACAAACTGCACACTATTGTATCAACATTTGTTTCTATTGACGCTACATGTTTCGACCCTTATACTGGGTCATCATCAGGCGTACAATAATACCAGACTCAGTTCCTGAGTTGCATCAAACTATTTGCATCTAATTCTTCAATGAGGAGCCTTATAGTGCACTTGAGTGTTTTTAAATGCACAAATTGAATCGTTCAGGTAAAATTTTAAAATACTCAGATAATGAAATTTGATACGCTAAAGACTAAAGAGCCGTTCACGGTAGCCAAGCGGTCTAAGGCATGTACTGTCTTCGCTCGCTTGGAAACCGAGATCGTGGGTTCGAATCCCACTCAGGGCATGGATGTTTAGTTTGTGTGTGTGTGTGTGCGTGCGTTTTTCTGTGTTTGTGTACAGTTAGAGGCCTTGCGACGAACTGATCACCCGCCCAAGGAGCCCTACAGAATGTGTTAGATCTAGAAAAACCGAAGTGAAAGGAGAAGTTCATGGAGGTAGGCCTAGGCCCACTGGGTCTGTAGTGCCAAGGGGGGGGATACTAAAGATTAAAACATAAAAGTTAAAATTAAACTAAAATGGAAACGAAGTATTGTGTGATAAATCTCTTTAAAACTTTGTGACCGTTAGATGTTAACGTGATTTTCTGCAGCGTGGGGCGCCGGCGTAACGGGATCTTCTCACATAAGTTAGGTCGCAATATCCAGTAATTTGGAACCCAAATCATCAAGAAGATACCAGATTTGTGGAACTACAGCTTTCTGGGTAGTATATGTACCTGAATGGAAGTGATATAAAGCAAAACGCTATGTTATTCTCCTCTAAGAATAATATTCCTCTTCCCGTTTCTGTTTCCTTGTCAACCTCTTGTGCCTCTCCTTATTTCTTGTGGGTTATTTCACGCCTCTGTCGGTATCTAGACTCTATAGTGTCAAATTTGAAGATGATTGCTGAACGCTAGACTGGGATGGATTTGAAAGGAGACGGTCTGGCCTAGCCTAGGTAATATCCCTGCTTTTGCCTAGACAGACTCAGAAAAGTGAAGCAAACTCACAGTCAAGTTCGTCTGTGTCCCAGCCGAGATCAGAAATTCGAAGACAGTCCCTCCCGAATACAAATTTGCTCGGTCCTTCTTTATCATCTAATTATCTTTCCCTTGTTGTCCATCTTTCTCTGTTCCTCACCCATTTCTCTTCTTTTTCACCATTTATTTTTCTTTTTACACGCCTTTCTTCTTGTCTACTTTCCTCTTATTATTATTAGTCTCCTCTTCTTCAGCTACTCCCCCACAGAAAAGTACGGGCAGAGTTTTGAAAGGTCACAAACGTTTTCAGTTTATGTCCTGCACGTCCAGATCAAACTATAAATATTTCAATTAATTACGAGAGTCAGTAAATAAGACACAAATGTAAGTATAAGAGTTGTAATGGATGTAATAGGTTTCCTGTGTTTATCACTAGGTAGCAGCACAGTCCAGCTTCATGACAGTCTACGTAACAGACAGGCATACAAATGTTCATAGGCTTGTTTCAGTAGTCAAAATGGCGACCTTGCCTGAGCGGTGTACTCTAGAAGAGCAGCGTTCTATTGTGTGTATTTTTGTTGGCAAAATTACTCGATGCAAAGGAAATTCATAAAGAAATGTTTCCTGTTTACGGTGGGAAGTGTTTGTCGCGGTTCACAGCTTTGTCAAGAAACGTGGCAAATATTTCGCTAATGACGAAGAGGTTGAAATGGAGGTGCTGAAGTGGCTGAGATAACAGTCAAAGGACTTGTACCCTGCGACATACTGATAAATTGATGGGATAAGTGTATCAGTGTTAGTGGAGAATATGTCGAGAAATAAATGTTCTTTTCTCAGGTTCGAATATCGCATATTTTACTTTTGTATTCATTTGTGACCTATTTACTGAGTCTAGCTCTTAGTTAATAACTTTATTTATTTTATTTCATGACAACAGTTCGAGAACCCATCATACTTGACGAGTGGTTTGAAGTGTTTCCAGGACAGACGAAACAGCTGTGCAGTTAGCAGGGGCAGTTGGCCTATCTGTGACACATTTCACGGTAAGTATAATATTCCATACATCTTAATTATTACCAGTGCATCAAATTTGTCGATTAATAATACAGAATTTGACGGCCTTATATCGTAATGCATTTCAAGATCTGTTATAGTCACACACTGAAGAAATATTCTCTTTTAGAACTTTCCACGTTTATTTTCATTTTGTAAAACAGTACTAGCCTCTTTTTGCACGTAGATATAATAACTTACAAAGGCGAACAAATTCAAATACAGCAGGAGAATCATATTTCTACAGACCATATTAACTGTATTTAAACCTCCAGTACGTTATGAGTGAAAACAAATTCTCCTGACATTTCTTGATAATTCAAGCCAGCTGTTTGTGTCTTTACATTAATGGAAATTACATATATGTGAAATGTCCTTCTTCGAGTACCGTGAAATGACCACAAGCATGTGCCCTTTTTTGACTTTAAATATTTGAATTTGTACTGTGAGTACCTTGTTTATTGTATGTACTTTGTTTTGTATTGTTCTCCTTATGTATAGTCTTTCCTTGTCTGTATCAGTGTAAGATCTACTGCCACTGGATGAACACCGAATTGCAGCAAAATAATAATAATATCGTAAAAACACTATATAAACGTACAGATTATCCTCGATTTATGAAAATTAGCAATACGAAATTTCACTCATACCAATTTTATGAGGCACATTCCTTCGGCTTTTTATTCTGACTAAAAACAAAAAACCAAATTCGCATTGTAAATTCTTATTATGCTTTGCTGTATGTGCATCTTATATAAGATTTTGTCTGCTGTTTTGTAAGAGTTTTGCAGCTTATAAACTATGAATTATGGCTGACAAGAGGAAAAGTTCTGTTAAAAAATTATTGGTATTTTTATAGTACAATATATATTCCGTTGTGGTTACAGAATAATCCCATATGTCTACAATGTTTACATATGCAGTGAACTTGATTTATATTTATTTTTGGCAACTTTTTGTCGCTCGTGAATATAGCCCCCGGTTATAGCTGAAGTATCGGTTCTCACTACGAAATTTCGCTTTACGATATCTCTCCAGGAACGTATTTTTTTATTGCTAGTGGGGTGGGACTAAGTCCCTTGTACTGCGGCCACATCTGGCCTGTTGTACCAGCCCCAGATGATAGGTGAGGGTGACTGTGGAGCAATTGGTGGAATGAAGATCGACAGGGGAGACCGAAGTACTCGGAGGAAACCTGTCCCAGCGCCACTTTGTCCACCACAAATCCCACTTGACCAGAACCGGGATCGAACCCGAGCAGCCGCGATGGGAAGCCAGCGACTAATCGTTTGAACTATGGCGCGGCCCTCCAGGAACGTAACCATTCGTAAGAGCGGGGAATGTTTGTATTGTGTTTCGTTTCCTAAGTTAAACTTCTTACCGAAGAGATCAAAACCCTGAACAAAACATGATCCATATTCATTGCATATTTGGTTGTAGTTTTCCTTTTATGGTCCCTTATTTTCTCCAAATATAATTAGAGTAATAAAATCAAGGAGGATGAGGTGGGCAGAGCATGTAACACGAATGGGGGAGAGGAGAAATGCATACAGGATATTGGTGGGAAAGTCAGAAGGAAAGAGACCACTGGGAAGACTAAGGCATAGTTGGGTGGACAATATTAAAATGGATCTAAGAAAGATAGAATGGGATGGCTTGGATTGATCTGGCTCAGGATATGGACCAGTGGAGGGTTTTTGTGAACACGGTAATGAACCTTCGGGTTCCATAAAATGCTGGGAAATTCTTGAGTAGCTGCAAAATTGGCAGCTCCTCCAGAAGGGCTCGGCTCCATGAGTAAGTAAGGTCCTTATCGGTGACACTGTAATAAACTGTTATTAGCCTACATGACATCGTAAGTGGGAAAACATGGGAAAACAATATTCCATCGCGAATATCAACAAACAGTTTAACTCTCCGCTGCTAGAGGGAGTTATATTGTTATTGCAAAGAGAAAGTATGACTCTGTTTTATATTTCATACTCCAGAGTATAATCAGAGAGAGAGAGCTGCGAGCTTGATTATTATATCAGTGTATTTTGAGCCTTTGTACGTACCAATTCAACTATGGATAATTGTATTTAACGCGAAAACTTACGACCACAACTCAAATACCAACAATATATTGTAACTGATGGGTGGAATATTAGCTTTGTTCTGAGTGGGACTTCACAGCGTGGAATCAAAGCGATTTCCCCAAGTTCAGTGAATTTGAATTAACAATATCTTTTGTCTGCGATATTGAGTTTCGATTCATTGTTTGACCTTAAAGAAGTCGGTATACCTCGTTCCATATAGTGTTTGGCCACGTGCTGGACGACCGAGGTTCGATTCCCGTCACTGGCAGAGAAATTTCTTTTCACCGTTGTGTCCAGACCGGCTGTGGAGTTTCAATGTCCGCTATTGAAACGGAAAAGGGGGAATTTTGCTCGGGGATAAATGAGCCGGGACGTGAAGCTCAGAATTCACTTGCATTTATTGCGGTATGTGGCCTTAGTAGTAAAGTTTCTGACTTGTATACAGGAAGTGCAGGTTCGAACCTCAAACGGGACGGCGACCTCTTTCTTCCAAATCCTTTCAAATTCATTGCCCACTATCTTCCGGACGTTCAGTTCTATGTGGCTAACAGTTATTGACAACTTCTTTAAATAAAGTTAAATATGCATGGGAAAATTATTATTATTATTATTATTATTATTATTATTATTATTATTATTATTATTATTGCTCTACAGCCCATTGGTGGGCCATGACCGCCTTTTCAGTTTCTTCATCCAATACATATTCGGTAGGACTCCTTGGACGGGGGATGATCCCGTCTCAAAGCCGTTGCCTAAAAACTAAACTCTGTGGCTTCAGTCCGCAAGCGAACTGTACCGACAAAGCGACCGCCGCTTGTCGGCGAAGTTAGTGCCAACTTTAGCGGCTAGAGGGTGTCGTGTGGTCAGCGCAACGAATCCCCACGGCCATTAATTTCGATTTTCTAGACCGAGGCCTCTATTTCCTTGAAATAGCTCCTCAATTATCCTCACGAGGCTGAGTTGACCCCGTTCCAGACCCACTACTTCTTAGAAAATTTGGTAATGTCGGGAATCAAACCCAAGACCTCTGGACTTGTAGCCAGGAACTCTGACCACTAGACCACAGAAGCTCTGCCTATGCACAGAACAACACAAACACAGAATAAACGCGCACACAGACATCCATGCATTGAGTGGGAATTGAACCCACGATTCCAACGTTCAAGAGAACAAAAGCAGTTTAGGCCTTAGACCGCATGGCCACTGTAGTCGTCTATGGGAATAATTTTACTAAAACCTAAATAGAAATTCACATTGAGCAGAAAAAGAAAGCTGAATTACTCAGTGCATATCTTTCTTGTTTTGTTCGGGTTCATTTTTACCCAATTTCCTCATTTAAAAAATAAATAAATAAATGTAAACTTGTGAGACCACCATGCTGTTTGTGTGTCTGTGAATCCCTTCTATCAACTTTTGAATTCCTGAACCAATATTTACGAAACTTGGTAACTGAGCCAATCCCAAAGGCGTAGTTCATAAATTGCCCCCATCAGCCTGTGTGTCTGTATGTGTGTCCCTCATATCGTTGGTAGGCAAAGGCTCGTTAAAATGTACCCCTTCTTTCGCTGCTAGGCAACAGCTCGAAAATCACGTCTCCGGGGCAATGAATACACGCAACATTAGAAAGACTGTTAGACGCCTCATTTTCTATAGTCAGTGTCTAACTGAGGAGAGTCTGTGGGTCTGTCTGCATATCCACTTAACTTGCTAGGCGTCAACTCTGTTAAGACGTTCCCGCGTCAACGGATGATTGTTGGAGGTGTCGTTTTCTCTACTGTCAAAGGAAAGTAGGCGATGATTTCTTCCCAAAACTTCTTGTTGTTTTAATGGTCTGTGGAGCCGCGTTCGCTTACATCTCTCTGCGTAGAAAATACGTTTTCTTTATTTTTTTCTTTCTCTCTGTTATGCGGGAAGAAGAAGGGCCCACAACTGAAGAGCACAAAAAATATTAGTCAACATTTTCTTCTTGTACTCCTTCTGAAGTTCTGAAAGCAGTGACCGTGAAGAATTCTACGTTTTGGGTTGTGAGGACGTGTTTTCTTTTCTTTTCGATAGTTTGTTTCCATGACAAGTTACAATTTTCATTGTTAGAACGTGTTGAATTGATGGCCTCCTTTGTCCAGAAGGTACAGGAGAGATTGCTTTCTCTGATATTTCATAGCAAATGCATTAGGTATAGAAGTGTTGGGTTTTACGGCGATTTATTTCGTCAATTAAATGGAACGCGTTATCTTCGCCACTCTCTGGATGAATGCAATGGAAATTCTCAGATATCCGTTGACACGTTATATAAGGAATATGTTAATTCTGAGTACTCTCTAGTGAGACGTCGTCGAGACCGGCTCTGGGGTCCACCCGACCTCCTATATGATGGGTACCGGGGGCTCTTTCCCAGGGATAAGGCGGCTGGGGCGTGAAGCTAACCACTCACCTCCAACAAATGCCGAGTTCAAGAAAATGTGGATCTATACATCCACTCCCACATACGTCTTCATGGCGTAGTGCTTAATTAGTTAAGCACAGGGACGAATTTACCTTTTTATTCTCTTGTGGGACGTGAAGACCGCCTCTGTGGTCTAGTGGTCAGAGTTCCTAGCTACAGATCCAGAGGTCCCGGGTTTGGTTCCGGCGCTACCAGATTTTCTGAGAAGTAGTGGGTCTTTAACAGGGTCATCTCAACCTCATGAGGATAATTGAGGAGATACTTCAAGGAAATAGCGGCCCCGGTCTAGAAAATCGAAATTAATGGCCGTGGGGATTCGTTGCGCTGACCACACGACACCCTCTAACGGCTAAAGTTGACACTAACTTCGCCGACAAGCGACGATCGCTCGGTCGGTATAGTTCGCTGGCGGACTACAGGCCACGGAGTTTTGTGAACCGTGATTCCATGCATTGCATTGTATTTT